CTCTGTGTGTGTGTGTGTGTGTGTGTGTGTGTGTGTGGTGTGTGTAGTGTGTTTTGTTTTGCAGTTTGGAAGATCTGCAAGACAAGTGAAATAAGCAATCTTTTTACCCTATATATTTCTTTATTAGTGGTTGCATGGATGCTCATGAATTTTAGATCATTTCTAATTTCATGGCATTATTATTAAACAGGGCAGTCAAGAGCATCACCTAACAGTGCTCATTATTCATCTAGTCTTCCCAAGCCTTATGTTAGTACTAATTAGCATGATGAAATTACTTGTGAGGAAACCACTCACAGAGCTGATAAGTAAACATATTTACCCAGTGAGTTTAACACCAGATTTCATACACTGCTGTGTCACATCTTCTGTTGGATCCTGTTACTGGAAGTGTTGAGATTTCCGTGTGTGTGTGTGGGGGAGGGGGGGTCGTCCATCCTTGTCTCTCATTTTACTTGAAACAGGTTCTCTTGTTTGCCACTGTGTAAGCTAGGCTATCTGGCCCTCATAAACTTTTGCAGATCTCTTGTCCCTGTCTTGCATCTGCCCATAGGGCTGTTGGGGTTACATCTCTGTGTGTTGCTGTATTTGTGTATTTGGTGTTTAACTTGGTTCTGAAGGTCCAAAGTCAGGTCTCCAGGGTTGTATTCATGTGCCTCATCCACTAAGTTATCTTCCTAGCCCAAAGATTTCAGACAAGAAGAAACTGAAGAGAGCTGAAAAGAACTGTGAAGTTTCACTTCAGTCCTCATTTGTGTCTTCCTTAGCTAGAGTGTTCTTTTATTGTTCATCCAAAATGGAGTAAAAGAGGGTTCATTAATAACTAATAAATGATAAACTAGTAATTAATAACTGGTAGACCAACATATTGTTTAAAACAAAAATGCTGTTTATATGTCATTCAGTAATTTTAAACCCTTCTAGCTCTGTAAAAGGATGTATTTATCTGGTCATCGTGTGATTATTATTAGAGTGGAGTGTGATATAAAATTAGGGGCATTTAATTTTGGAGTCAGGCTTATGTTTGAGGTCTCAGAGAGTAGCTTGGTGTCCTTGGACAAGCTATTTAGTATCTTCAGTTTTTTTCCTTCAATATAAAATATAGACAGAACAAGGAAAAGGAATGAGGTAGTTAATATGAAAAATACACCACAAAAATATGATATTCTTAATTGCTAATTTGGCGCTTATTACGCCTTTGAAAAATTATCCTTGTGTCTGTCATAGGGCCTGTCACACAAGGCAAGTGACACATCAACATAAAGTACCAGCATGGTGTGAACCCCAGGTGGGTGAATTATGTTAGTTATGTTAGTGTGACACTTGATAATGTATTCACTAGGCTCTGCTCCCTTCCCAAAGGCACCAAACAGATTATGTGTTTATGACTTATGCTTACAGCTTAACCTTCATAATTTGAGAGCAGTTTAGAAGGTAATAGCTATATAGTTTACTGACTTAATTAGAATGTTTGGCTTACAAGTGGTGGCTTGCAAAAACTAGATTTATTAGGCCATATAAGTAACCAGCAGAAATAAAAGACTGCCTCCTAGAACTGGTTGTCCACACCTTAAGAATTCAAAACTGGGGCTAGAGTAGTCGGGAGTTTCTTTATTACTGACAATCTTAAACTCCTTGGAGTGTTGATGAACCAGGAGAGAGCATGCTGTGTACCCCTGTCTCTTAAAAACCTGGAAGGTCACTCTCTAGCCTGGTGTCTAGTCACAATTTCTATACTGTCCAGTGTAAATTGAACCTTACAAAATTGCTAGTAGTCAGTTGTTTTTATACCAACTCAAAAAGCCATCTTATACAGTACAACCTGCTAATGTGGAAGAGTGAGGCACCAGGAGAGAAGACCTACTGCTGTTTTTCCATGCCCCACTCCTTATTTCTTCAAGGCAGAAGAAATAGTGACTGAACTTGCACAGTTGCAAATAGCACAGGCCAGCCAGATGACAAAGGAAAGGTAGCATAAAGATGCTCGGAGCTAGGGAGACTCTGTAGCACAAGAATTCACGTGAAGGCCAGGCACAGTGGTGCACATGTGTGAGCCCAGTGTTGCATGTTAGTTGGTGAGCTCACTGTTCCTTTGAGAAACAGGAATGAAGGTGCAGAATGGTAGAGGAAGCTACTTCCTCTACATATGCAGGGGCATAGATGAGTATACCTGCACCCACACACACTAGCACACTTCATACACAGAACCGTGTGTGTGTGTGTGTGTGTGTGTGTGTGTGTGTGTGTGTGTGTGTGTGTGTGTGTGTGTAAATTTCACACTTACACATATAAATAAAGTTTTATGGTGCTGTAAATACTTCTGTGGCTAACCCTAATGAAGCTCCCTTGACTCAGTGTGTGCACACATGCTGAAAGAGGAAGAGAATTGGCAGGGGCTGAAGGGCAGTGGCGGCACAGATGTGCTCAAAGTGCATTCTGTACTGTTTGAACGTGTCATAATGGAACCCATTACTAGGCATATTAATGTTAATAAGAACTTTAAAAAGTACATAGGAGTCACAAGATGAGAGAGTTGAGTTATTCTTACCAGCCATTTGCTAAACCACCTCAGGTTTTGACACTCCTGCTTTTTCATGTAACAGATGTGCAAGGGTCTAGATTCGTCCCTTTGTATTTTTCTCCTTTAAAGACAAATAATTAAGGGTCAAAGAGTGCAATCACTTATCTAAGGTAATTTAATTTATTAGTATAGAGCCAGGACTTGAAGTCCAAGTTAAAGACAAACCCAGCTTTTCTTTCAACACTGTTACTTCTTTGTTTGTCACTAAAATTCCACTAAAAGCAGAAGGGAGCATATCTGCCCCCTGGGAGGTCAGTTGGCATGTATGGTCTAAGTGTGGATGTTGCCTGTTCCATAAGTTTGGTTTGAAAATGCTGAGGAGGTTGTGTCAGTGTGTTAACTCTGACTAGGAATTAACTGTTTCAGCTTGAGGAAAACGGCAGTGTGCCCTAGTGTCTGATATGACTGACCTAGTTTAGTTTACATTGTACGGATCTAAGAAGTAAGTCAAGGGTGTCTGTTAAATCAGTATTTCTCCCCAGCATTTTTCTGCTTATAGACAATTAACTAACAGCACTTGATCTTTCTATACAGCTGTACGTTTTAAATTAATTTATTCTACATCCTGGCCACAGTTTCCCCTCCCTCCTCTCCTCCCAGTCCTCCCCACCCTTTGTCCTCACCCCCCCCCAACCCCAAAGGGCAGGTCTTCAATGAGTATCAGCAAACCATGGCATGTCAAAGTTGCAGTAAGACTAAGCACCTCACCATGTATTAAGGCTGGGCAAGGTGACCCAGTATGAGGAGTAGGGTCCCAAAAGCCAATAAAAGGGTCAGAGACAGCCCCTGTTCCACTGTTAGGAGCCCCACAAGAGGTCCAAGCCACACAACTGTAACATACATGCAGAGAGCCTAGATCAGTCCCCTGCAGGCTCACTGGTTGTTGGTTCAGTCTCTGTGAGCCCCTATGAGCCCAGGTTAGTTGATTCTGTGGGTATTCTTGTGATGTCCTTGACTCCTCTGGCTCATACAATCCTTTCTCCTCCTCTTCTCTAGGATTCCCTGAGCTCCGCCTAATGTTTGGCTATGGGTCTGCATCTGTTTCCATCAGTTGCTAGATGAAGCCTCTCTGATGACAATTGGGTTCAGCACCAATCTATGAGTATAACAGAATATCATTAGGCATCATTACATTGACTTTTCCCCCCCTCCTATCCTAGGTCTCTGGGTTACCAAGCCTGTGGGTCCTGGTACTCCAGGCAGTGTCAGGGGTGGTTGATTCTCCTGGCATGGGTTTTAGGCTAGATCAGTCATTGGTTGGACATTCCTTCAATCTCTAGGCCTACCTTACTTCAGAATATCCCATAGGCCAGATATCCTACTCACCCTACTTGAAGTCTTGTCTGGTCACAGGAGATGGGTATGCACTATTGCTAGGAGTCTTAGCTGAGGTCATCCTTGTAGAGTCCTGGGAAAGTCCCTTGTGCCAGGTTTTTACCTGACCCTGAAATGCCCCCCTTTCCAGTAGTCTCTTTCAGTAACCTCCCCTCTGCTTCCCTTCACCCTGACCTCTCCTGTTTTCATCCCGTATCTACCCATAGCTGTACATTTTTATTCTCATTGACTCAGCAAATAGTAGATTCTGAAGTAGCTCTGGAAGCGTTATTTTACACTTATTTATTTGTAGCAGAAATGTACATGTGCCATAGTGTATGTGTGGAGGTCAGAGGAAATTTGTGGAAATTGGTTCTTTCTTTCTACTATGTGGGTCCCAGTGATCAAACTCAGGCTGGCAGAATCTTTACCTGCTGTATCATCCTGTTGGCACATTGCTTTGTTTTTGATCGTCTTTTACAATACAGCCCAGGCTTGCTTGGAGGCTGAGCCAATCCTACTGCCTCTGGAGTACAGAGATGGCAGGTATATGCCACCACACCCAGCCATTACTCTTTTAAAAAGACATTGCACTGTTGGGAGAAAGGAGAAGAGCAAAAAGTCTTTAGTTAAGATCCTGACAGTGTTGCTTTTTATTGGTGTTGGAAGAGTGTGAGAGCAAAGACAAGGGAAGGGGCTTTGTAGTCAGTGGTGGCGCATGGTTTGCCGTCTGTTCCTAAAGACCGTGATGTTATTAGAAGGGGAGCCTGGGTAGTTTGCTCTCTTGAAAACTATTCCTGTGTCTCCAAATTGATGTATGTAGGAACATTTAGTAAGAAAACTAAGGCGGGGGGGGGGGGGGGCAGACGGCACAGGAAATTTTCATCATTTTAATAACTTGAAAAATATCTTTATAGAAGTTGTTCTTGTAAACATGGTAAAATTATTGTTTGTTTTTTGTTTGTCTTTAAAAAATAAAACAAAACAAAACTGATTTGGTGTAGTTTTCTCACCAGAAGGAAATCCTTTCTCGGGCAGTCAGGTTTTAAAATGGTCAATATTTTCTTTTTCAGATGATAGTATTTCTGCTGCAAGTACTTCTGATGTTCAGGATCGTCTCTCAGCTCTCGAGTCACGAGTTCAACAACAGGAAGATGAAATCACTGTGCTAAAGGCAGCTTTGGCTGATGTTTTGAGGCGTCTTGCGATCTCTGAGGATCATGTAGCCTCAGTGAAAAAGTCTGTGCCAAATAAAGGTGAGTAAGATCATTGTAACAAGAGTCCTGGAATGTCTCTTTTTCTTTTTAAAATTGAAACTTGAAATTCAAAACTGTTTGTTAGTTTGAATCACTTGTGATTATAGTAGGTTTCCTTTATTTCTCCAAATTCTGAAAGTTTACTCCTTATTGAGAACCTGTGTAATACTACAGGTTTTCCCCACCATAATATTTCTAACTATATAATAAATTTTGCAGAGGGCAAGGACTGAATCTTTTTGCACCTCCTGTCCTAACTATAGCTAGGCATTAAACTACTTATTCCAGAAACATGAGTGAAATAGTTGTAGATTATTTAACTAGCTTCATCCTAAGCCTTCTGCAGTCAGTAGTTAAATTATTGCCACCCTCAATACAGGCAGAATTTTTACATCCAAACGTTGAGGAAACAGTCCCTAAGACATTGCTCTCATTCAAATCAGATGTAGCCTTTTCTATTTCTCAGCCACCAAGAATTTTTAATTCTTATAAATTATTCAAGCACTTGAACTTAACATTTCTTAGTGGAGCTAATAGGGATTGTCCTCAGCAGTGTTTGTTTGGAAAGGGACGTTTGCACTGCTTCCCCCAGGTTGCAGTGAGTCGGGAGGACTAGATAGAAGGTGACTGGGAGAAGTATGTTGTTATTCTCGATGCTTACTAGACAATGCTCACAACACAGTTAGCCAAGACTCAAACCAGTGAAGCCAGTGTGTGTGTGTGTGAGTGCTAACTGAGATGCGTGTGCTGGTGTGTGAGTAGGCTTGTGTACATCATGGAAGTACAGGAGGTGTTCTTGCTCCTGTTAGCCATCAAGACTTTGGGACTGATTACCTTACAGATGAAGTTGATGTGACAGAAAGGGCTATAAAACTAAGCCCAGAATGGCATCAGTGATGCGGGTTGTCAGCTGCAGCAGGGAAGGCCATTAAAATAGACTGAGAAGTAACACTTGGAGTTTGATGTGTAAGAATCTTAGAAACCCCTACAAAAGCAATTTTAGTGAGATAGCAGTCCTGAAAATCTCTAGTATTTTGAGAAATGTAATTGGAATTCTCTGATTAAGGAAAATTGTAGAATTAAGAGTAGTGGCTTAAAACAAATTGCCTGAAGGGGGAAAATGATAGTGGCTATAAAAGGATGCTACATTGAAGGCCAGTTTTAATATTACTCATTGATTTATGGTGCTAAGGATGTAACTGAGGGCCCTATAATCCTACTATATCACCAGAATATATATGTATATTCAGCCCTATTGTATACTTTTTATGTTTTAAGATGTTATATAAATATGTTGAGAACAGAGAGATAGCAAAGAGGAAGATAGTATTGGTGCTGGTAATAAGAATTGGTAAATCAAGGTTTCTCTGAGTTTGCAAAGGGTGATCTTAGGTAAGGGAAGAAGCTAGTAAGTCTTTTTTTGGTTTTTCAAGACAGGGTTTCTCTGTGGCTTTGGAGGCTGTCCTGGAACTATCTCTTGTAGACCAGGCTGGTCTTGAACTTACAGAGATCCGCCTGTCTCTGCTTCCCAAGTGCTTGGGAAGGAACCAAAGGCTTGGTAGAAACCACTTTGGATGATAATGTTATATGGTTTTATTATTTTTTAATTTGTTTAATTTTGTATCTTTTTGAGAATCAACTTCAAAGACTGCCACAGTCAAGACAGTAATAAATGATTTGCTTAAGACTTGATTTTTGTAAGAAAATTTAGACATTGCTAGAGTAGATGGGGAAGTAGATCGGTTAACATGCAGAGGCTTGACTAAAGTGGTTACAGCTTTAGAGCAAGCTTTCTGCCTAATTGACATCTCCACCTCAGCTTGAATCTGTATGCATATGTTAAGTCGTGCGATAGAAAATAACGCTTCCTCGTTGTCAGAAGTACTTTATGTGTCTTTGTTTTTAACTATCATGTAATAATTGGACTATTTCTGGGGTACATTGTAGCATTTCATGCACGTGTGTAATATGGGATGATCAGGTAAAGGTAATTGGCCTGTCACCTCAGACATTTGTTATTTATTGTGTTAGAAACATTCACAATTCTCTCTAGTAACTATTTTGAAATATTGAAACAATTTTTTCAACCATAGTTATCCTCCTATACTGTGTAAACGGTTACATCATTTTTTCCTATCCATCTTCATCACTGTGCCTATTAACCATCTTTTCTCTATCACAGACTTCCAAGCACTATTCTCTGCTCTGAAATCAACTTTTAGCTTCCATATACCCATGAGAACACATGTTATTTTCTTTCTATGCATACTTGTCTCAGTTAACATTCTGTCCTCCTTTAGGTTCTGTACATGTTATTTAATATAGATGAAAAGATGTTTTTTTTAAATGACTGAGTAATATTCAATTCTGTGGATGTGTAGTTATGTGGATGTATAAGATACACACATACATACATATTAATATACACATACATGCATGTTAATCATTTTTTATTGCTCTAACAAAATATCAAGAAATCAATTTTTAAAATAACAAAGTTAGGGGTTATGGAGATAGCTCAGCCTTAAAAATATTGGCTGCTCTTCCAGACAACCTGGTTAGATTGCCAGCACCCTCATGGCAGATCATCTGTAATTCCAGTCTCAGAGGATCAGCGCCCTCTTCTGGCCCCCACAGGCACTGCATGCAAGTGATGTACAAACAAGTGTGCAGACAACATCCATACACATAAAAGTAAAGGAAAACAGGTTTTAAAATAAATCCCAGTACTTTACTTTGCTGCTAGGGTAGTTACATTCTGAAATGAGATCCATTTCATTGACTATGTTTGGGTTACTCGGTTGAAAAAACTTTTATGGATGAACATAGTTCATTAAGATTAATCACTTATTTCTTGTTAGTGGAGATTTTGTTTAATTACGTTTTGTAATTCTGATAATAAGACACAAAGATGTAAAATTTTCTAAGTTTTGTCATTGAAAACTATTCAGCAGGTGTATATTTTTCTTAGGATTTGTATATAGTATACTACTCAAATAATCTAAAATCAGGTATCAGTTTTTAATTAATAGAGTTAATGTATATTGATATAAAATCTGAATATTTTAAGCAACATGTTTTCAAATTAAGTTTTTTTCATAAAATACCTGTTAACATACGATTAAACTTTAACTAAAAGTGAAATTACTTACTGTACTGTGGAAAACTCTACTATGTTAGGGTCTTAGTTTCCGTTGAAATTAGAAGTCAGTACTGTATCTATAGATTTTGCATATGTAGATTCAGCCAGCCATAATCAGAAACATTCAGGGTATGTTTAAACATCTGTAGTTTTTATGTATCACTCCCTTGGACAATAGAGTATAATCTTTACTTACCTACACTATGTTGGGCATTTTAGGTAATGTAGGAATGATTTAAAACATGCAAAAGTATATACATAGATTATTGTGCAGCTAATGGCAAGAGATTTGAGCGGAAATGCTCCCAGATACCGAGTGCCTCTGTATTCACACCTCATGAGTTATTGACAGGACAGTGCTTACTCATCATCTTCACTCCTTTCTTTCTTTCTTTCTTTCTTTCTTTCTTTCTTTCTTTCTGTCTTTCTCTCTTTCTCCTTCTTTTCCTCCTTCTTCTTCCTCTTCTTCCTCCTCCTCCTCCTCCTCCTCCTCTTCCTTCTTCTCTTCCTGTGCTGGTCCTGGGCCCTTCCCCATGTGTCCAGGGCCAGAG